GAGCCTGGGGTAAAAGCGGAGTTCCCCTAATCAGACTGCATTGATGGGCAGTGCAGTCTGTATGTCTCTGTGTGGGCAAAGTTATTGCTGGTATATTGTGTTTGTAGCGCTGTATATATATTGGTATTTTACTAATAGCAATTTTGACTCCCTAGGAAACAATGATGTCAAGAAAGAGAAAAATTTAATCAGAGTGTAAGATATTCAAAGAACAGTGGACTTATGATTACTTTTTCATGCAGTACAAGGAAAGAGCTGTGTGTCTGATATGCCAGAATATAGTGTCTGTGTTCAAAGAATACAATTTACGTCGACACTATGAAACTCAACATGAAGATAAATATGATTGTTTGGTCGTAGAAGTGAGAAAAGATAAAATATTAAAACTGAAAAATACATTAACAACTCAGCAAAATACTTTTGTGAAGCAGAAGCAGCTAAATATTTCATCACTGCGAGCAAGTTTTCAAGTTGCCAAGCTAATAGCATGCACTGGCAGACCATTCGTGGAGGGAGAATTTGTTAAAGAATGCCTTCTTTCTGTTGCCAAAGAGATGTGTCCAGAGAAGGCCGATTTATTTAGTACAGTGAGTCTTTCAGGACCTACAATTACACGGAGGATTGAAGAAATGGGAGACAAATTGCATCAGCATTTTCAAAACTCCACAAAAAAACTTTCCTATTTTTCCTTGGCACTCGACGAAAGCAATGATGTTCGTGATTCTGCACAACTTCTAATTTTTATTCGTGGGACGAATGACTATTTTGAAGTCTCAGAAGAGCTTGCTGCACTGCAAAGCATCAAAGGAACAACTACAGGAGAGGATATCTATGAAAAAGTTTGCCAAACTGTGAATGGTTTGGAGCTGAACTGGGCTAAACTAGCCAGTGTGACAACTGATGGTGCTCCTAGCATGGTGGGGTCTAAGAAAGGAGTAATTGCTCGCATTAACCAAGAGATGGACAAACATAACCATTCTCATCCAATAGCCATACACTGCCTCATCCACCAACAAGCGCTGTGTAGTAAATCACTGAAGTGGGACTCTGTTATGAAAATTGTGGTATCTTGTGTTAACTTCATTAGAGCTCATGCACTAAACCACCGACAATTTCAGGAATTTCTGTCTGAACTAAATGTTGACTATGAAGATGTTCTGTACCACACAGAAGTCCGTTGGCTGAGTCGAGGGAGAGTTTTGAAACGTTTCTATGACTTACTTCCACAGATTACAGCTTTTCTGCTTTCAAAAAACAAAGAAGTACCAGAGCTCAATGATGCACAATGGAAATGGCACCTTGCCTTTCTGACAGATGTAACAGAGCTACTCAACAGTTTCAATGTGCAACTTCAAGGAAAGGGGAAGCTCATCTGTAAAATGCAATCACATGTCAAAGCATTTGAAGTAAAATTAGGCCTCCTCATCAAACAAGTTAAGGAGGAAAACTTCTGCCATCTCCCCACAACTCAAAATCTGTTAGCGGAAAAACCATTGGTTGCAATTCCCAAACAAAACATGTGTGGATTCACTGGAAAAATTTGCAAAAGGAGTTCCAATTTAGATTTAAAGAGCTTCATCTCCATGAACAGGACATACAGCTTTTCCGTAAGCCATTTTCTATTGACATTGAAAATGTGGATACAATTTACCAAATGGAACTGGCTGAACTGCAGAATTGTGACTCTCTGAAAGACGCATTCAAGTCAAGCAGCCTTCATAATTTCTATGCATCTCTCCCCTCTGAGACATATCCTCATCTCAGGAACCATGCACTCAAAATGGCAACCATCTTTGGCAGCACTTATGTCTGTGAACAGACTTTTTCCAGAATGAAACATTTGAAATCTCCAACCAGATCTAGACTAACAGATGCACACTTGCATCACTTGTTATGACTAGCAGTGACAAATATGGAACTGGACATTGACCATCTCATTAGCCAAAAGCAGGCCCATAGTTCCCATTGAAATACTGGAAAGTTTGTTGATTTAACTTTACTTGTTCTTCGTTTTAAATATTGTATTTGTTCCCGTTTTGTTTCTTCACTTCAAAATAAGATATATGCAGTGTGCATAGGAATTTGTTCATAGTTTTTTTTAACTATAGTCCGGCCCTCCAACGGTCTGAGGGACAGTGAACTGGCCCCCTGTTTAAAAAGTTTGAGGACCCCTGATCTAAGCCATCAATCATCTGTCACCGATCGGCAATGTAATGATCCGCATCACGAGATGTGCATTATAAAAAAATAGTTTTATATATTTTAAATATATAAAAGTAATGTTTGGCAGTAAAAAAATAAAACCCTTCGTAATAACCTGCAAATGTGTTATCATTAGATTTACTGCCAGAATATTGTTGCCCCTTTGTAATGGAAAGTTCACTCTTCGTGGGAAAACGATTGCAATAAATAAAGGCGTAAAGACGAGAACGATGAGTCGGAAAATAACGATAACATTTTTTTTGTTACCAAACATTTTTCATTTGCCTCCTCTTGCGATAAAATAGCAAGTTCACTCAATATATATTCTTGCTAAATACGAGATACGCAATGAAATAAGAAAATTTCACCCCCCCCCACCCAAAGAAAAATAATCGTGAAATAACATTAAATGCCCGGTGAATGTAATTATGGACAAACATTCTAGATTTGAAGCTTTCGGTTCTGCAAGGATTCATATTCTTAGGTTTTTCCGGTAAAGTCACGTAGGTAAAAATAAAATTAATAAAAGTAAAATAAAATAAAAATCACGACGTTTCGGAGGCAACACAAGCTTCCGTCTTCAGGTGGACTGTCACAGCCCGACAGCTGTATCAAGTAAATGAGAGATTACAAGAGATACCACTCCGTATATATAATGGTTGAGGGGGGGGGCAGGAATAGCCCACTTTTTATTATTATGGTAAGATGCGGCTTGAGACTATGAATAGACTGCATAACAAATGACTAAGCCTTTATTATGGAGAGGTGCGGTTTGTGACTACGCCTAGCCTACATAACAAAATGCTGCAAATGAGACCGAGCCTCTGCCATGTAGATGGTAATAGACTGTATAACAAATGACTGAGCCTTTATTATGGGGAGGTTCGGTTTGTGACTACGCCTAGCCTACATAACAAATAGGTGAAAAAAGAAAGCTAAACCTGGTAAAACAAAACTGGCTGTCTATCAGTAACCTGTAATAGTTGTCGGTCAAATAAGATGGTCCAAATAAGTGTTTTTTTATTTTATTTTTATTTTACTTTTATAAATTTTAATTTTTTTACCTACATGACTTTACCGAAAAAACCTAAGAATATGGACAAACATGTTTGGCCTTCTTATATATGCACACGTATCGTATTTCTCTGATTTATTCATGATAAAAAAGATACTTAATGAAGAAAACATTCTCCAAAAATCGACATAGAAAGCGTTATCGTTTAGCCGGGTGGTAGCGGCAGCTCCTCCACGTGGCCGCCTGCAAATCCGGCACTGTGAAGGCAGCAGCGAGGGTTAGTGGATCACCGCACCAATGGTGTTGTTTGAGACTCCCCTCCCCATCCCGTAGGCATCGAGGAGGAGCAGTACTCCTGTCTCGCCAGGAGAAAGCGGCTCCAGCGAAGTGTGGAGTCCGCGTGATTCCGTCTGCACCGGGGTGGGAATAGCGCGTTGCACCCTCACACGCGTCCGTTTTACCTCGGGATGCTCCATTTTTCCTCCCGCATACGACGCACGCTCACGTTGCCCATTTTTTTGCGACAACATCTGAATGCTTCTAGAGGGCCGCAGAACTTGGACAGATTGTTTGGCCGCCACCACCCGCGCCACCACCGCCACTCACGATCGTGCAATGAAACAATCCGCTCAAGCGCCTGCGCGCGAGTTGATTTCATCGCTCTCTGACGCGTTCCATCGCCTGGCTGCCGCTCCGTTCCTATCCTTGACCATCGCCTCCTGCCCAATCCCCACTCACTCGATTTGTTTACATTTTCCAATACTTTGCACCAGAGGTGTGGACTCGAGTCATGTGACTTGGACTCGAGTCAGACTCGAGTCATGAATTTGATGACTTCAGACTCGACTTGGACTTGCATAACAATGACTTTGTCCCACCTCTGAGGTGTGGACTCGAGTCATGTGACTTGGACTCGAGTCAGACTCGAGTCATGAATTTGATGACTTCAGACTCGACTTGGACTTGCATAACAATGACTTTGTCCCACCTCTGCTTTGCACTCCTGTCGCGTTTTTTGTTGGTTTGCTCTATTGTTTGTTGGTGTAACGGACTGAGCGTCGTGCACCTTACTGGTCATCTGTGAAAGAAAAAATAGAGCTGGGTAGCTCATCGGATTCCTCCTGCAATCTTTAATAAATATTGTTCATTCTGAACGTGGGCCAGCCCTTCCCTCTCTCTCGCTCCTCTCTCCGTCGCCCATTCACGACATCCTTCACTCCACTCCCTTTGCCACGAGTAAACATCACTCCAGGATTAATCAATATTAAGATTATGACTTGTCGTGAGAGTCACAATTGACGTCTAATGTGCCTTTGTTCTCGAATCAAAGTCTCCCTATTCCCGTCTCTCGTTCCGATGCCCAACACGAGACCCACACTTCTTTGCGCACTTTATCTATATATACAGAGAGATACGTAATAGTCGGAGTTCAGAGGGGCAATGATGCACAGTCCAGAGGTAGTGTGAGAGTTGGACATCGACACACGCGGAAATACACTCGTTGAGACAGAAATCAGAGACAAAATGCACATTGAAGGGTTTTCAACGTATATTTCGATGACGATCGCTTGTGTTGTGATCGAAACGTCGTAGTTTTTTTTATTTTTGTTGTTTTATTTTAACCTATTTCCGTGACTTTACCGAAAGACCCAAAGAATAAAATGTAATCAGTTCCTGGCGGCTCATTAACATAATTTATTCAGTTACACCGCCGCTCATTGGGGGAGGGGATTGATTGTTGAACCCCGCAAGTGACGTCATGTCACCTCCTGCTGCCGCGTAACGTCACGAGACACCAGGAAGCTGCCAGTCCACACGCGCGCTCACTGAGATCCGAGGTGAGAAGTTCACATCGTGGTTGTTGTCGTGGTGGTTGTTGTTGTTGTTGTTTACCCAGGTAGAGCCTCGCTCCGTCTCTCTCTCGTAGGGATATCAATTGAGTAGCAGCGAGTATGGAATCGACGTCCAGGTTGGAACATTACAACGCGGGGCCTTGCCTCCTGCTCTCGCCTGATTGCATTTGCTTTAATTCTCTGCTTAACTACTCTTTGGTTCTTTCGGTAAAGTCACGTAGAAAGAAAAATATATTAAATAATAGCATACGACGTTTCGATTGTAACACAAGCAATCATCATCAAGTACGAATGAATGAGAAAACAAACCTAGTAAACTTAGAAATATAATGCAATACAACTCAAGAGAGTCGGCTAACACAGCAGTCAACACCCTACCTGGTTGATTACGTTCTTCCAAAGATTGATACAATTTGAGAGAGACAAAAAAACACACGGAGACACAGACACATGAGCAGAGAGAGATAACACAGAGAGAGACACAACAACAACCGCCATTCACCACTAAGTGGCGGTGACGTCACCACGACGCTTGTGCCAGGCCATGTGCACCTTGAGAGAGACACACATAGGCACACAGATAAACAACGCCTCTCTGTCGAGGCCTTCATTAGAGAGAGAGGGGGGTGGTAGAGAAATTAGCATGTCAATAAGAGATTTAGAGCTTTCGTGACTGCAGGAAATACGAGAGCGACAACAGGACACAGAGAGAGAGAGAGAAAACACACTTAATCCAACAAACTTAGTCAAATTTGGAAATGTAATGCAATGCAACACAGAGAGTCGGTAAACACAATTAACGCATAGCCTGGTTGATTGCGTTCTTCCAAAGATTGCTACATTAGAAGTTAAGTGTGAAATTTGAGAGACAAAACACAGACATAAAGACCGACACAAGCAGAGAGAGACAACACAGAGACACACAGAGAGAAAACACACTGAATAAAACAAACTTAGTAAAATTTGGAAATGTAATGCAATGCAACACACAGAGTCGGTTAACACACAATGCATTGCCTGGTTGATTACGTTCTTCCAAAGATTGCTAAATTAGAAGTTAAGTGTGAAATTTGAGAGAGAGACAAGGTACAGACACGGAGACACAAAGACAGACACAAGTAGAGAGATAACACAGAGACACAGAGAGAGAGAAAACAAACTTAAAACCTCCCTGTAGAGGTGGTTCAAACTTGATTTGGAGACTTCGTGACTGTAGGAATTACTCTTAGGTTATTTCGGTCAAGTCACATAGAAAAAATAAATATTAAATAATTTTTTTTGATGAAATAAAGATTTTCTCTGCTTAAGTTTATTTTGTCTTCACCTTGCTCACTACTTTACAACTTTTTTCTTTTACATATTTCTACAGTTTTTTTTATTTCACAAGGCGTAGCCCACTTGAGCTGTACCGCTTTTTTCAGAAGCGACTGCCCACAACAAAGTGGCTTATCAACGTGTGGAAATGTATATCGGTCAAATACTCTAAACACGTGAGATGTTGAGTCTAATGTGGAGGGAAAAACCGGAGGGTCCGGAGGAAATTCCACGCGACCACGGGGAGAGAGACACGCAAACTCCAAATATACATCCGTAATACAGGTTTGTTTGAGTTAGATCGCGTAAATATGTAAAGATGTTGTTAAACCCGCCACAACCCGACACAGCCAACTAGTAAGGGTTGTCACATAAACAGAACGTGGCCAATTCGTCACGAGTACAGCCACACTGATTGTGTGTTGGAGAACCAAGCCACAACATTTACAATCCGAGTATGATGTTTGCCAGTAATTACAACCAGCTTCATCAGGCGACAGCCAAATTTTTGTGGCTTGGCTCTTTGAGACTATAAATCAGGTTGCTGGGTTTATAGCACAGCACAGTAACCTTTGCACTACCGCTCTCCACTCATGCACAAACATTATCATTGGAAGGATAGTATCTATTCAGTAATAACTAAGTTACCCGACTTCGCACAGGTCTCTGTAATCAAACATTAAGGTTAATGTCTTGTAATGCTGGCTTTATTAGAATTATTGAAACCTGCCAATGAAGTCTGAAAATGGATGTATATTGTCACGGTTTTTTGGTTGTGTTATACAATCGCACGGCTTGTTTGTTTCATAATGAGGACAGCTTTTAAATTCGTTGCCCTTGGAGAGCTTCAGGGATAGACAATGTTGAATATTTTGCCATCTGGTGGGTTTAATCGAATAAAGCTTCAATTTTGCCATTTATGTCGACAGCAAATTGGTGGAATTGCTCTTTGCATCTCAAGAATAGATTAAAGCTGCCGTTTCGCACCATTATCCTGAAGGCAAAGAAGTCCATGGCGGAAATCGTATTTTATGTTGACAAGCCTGTTGCTGGGTCAGTTTGGCAAAGTAGGAAATTGTAGCCATCATCACCTTGCCGGAAAATCTGTAGACTTTGAAAAGCATCATAGGATCAGTGTGTTTCATTTCTGTATAGGGTATTGTTCCTCAGTTGCAAGATGATGCCTCAAGTGACATGTTGTTCAGCAGTCAGAATGACAGCGACTTCAGATGTTGCGAGTGCATTTAAGCGGCACCCATGTTGACCATGTGGAGTTTAGTCGGCATCAATGACAACATTGTACTCTGAAGTCATCTTCTCCATGGCACACTTGAAACTGTGAACATAAAGAGTTTTGCTTATGGAGCATATCTTGCCACAGCAATATGACTTGCATCTGGGTGTTGATGACATTTTTTCCAATGCTGTCTAGTATTGTTCAGATACGCAAGTTGTTCTATGGTAATATAGGTAGGTTATTAGGTAGTGGCAGCAGACTGCCTATGCGATTATGTACCTGGCCCTGCACTTTAAATGTGGGCATGTAGCCAGATGTCAGGATGAATGAATTGGTTGGTGCCAAAACATGTAATTTTGAAGCATGAGATCTATCTTCTATTTTAAGGGACCTCCTATGCCAGGACCAAAATATGAGAATAGATTTTTTTTCCCCTTTTTTCTGGCAACAGAAAAACCTTTTACAAGGAATCGTGTCTGCATTAACCACAATACTTGTTGTCAGAATGCACATAAAAACATTATCTTATAATATATGTATTGTCTTTGAAACTGATTGGTCTGTCTCAGGTGTGGACCAATCAATTTCCAAGACAATGCATATTTTCTTCTTGGTTCTTTCGGTAAAGTCACGTAGAAGGGAAATAATAAAATAATACAAATAAAACAATACAATTCTCACGTTTCGACCACAACACAAGCAGCCGTCCTCAGGTGAAGACAGAGCTGTCTGAAAGACAGCACTCCAATGAACACTACTAAGCTTGGCAGCTTAAAATATGATGGGTCTTTACCGAAATTTAGAAATTTAATGCATATATTATTAGCGTATGTTTTTTGTTTACATTTTGACCACAAGTATTGTGGTTAATGCAGACATGATTCCTTAAAAAAGTGTTTTTTGTTGCCAGAAAAAGGGGACAACCCTATTTTCTATGTTCTATTGTTGTTTTGGAATTGGCTTGCATAGGTCGTGTTGGCAGGTATCAATACATGAACTCCCTCGGGATGGCCATTAATTGTAGGCAGCTGAACCGTGGTACAGTTAAATCTTGACTTAAAGCTTTTGTGACTGCAGGAATTCATATTCTTTGGGATGTGATACCTGACATACAATACCCTAGCGTCTACAAACTAAGATGTGTCTGCGGCAGTAGTTACATTGGGGAAACTAAGCGACATGTCTCGGACCGTATTCGTGAACATAAGGCAGATCTGAAACACGGTAGGACCAATACCTCGGCCGTGGCTGATCATTGTTTTAACGCGGTGGGATCACACGAAATGTATTTCTCTAAGACGAAGGTACTTTGCAAACCCACTGGCTATCAACAAAGATTCGTTCATGAAGCCATCTATTTTTTCAGACAGACCCAATTTCAACCGAGAAGATGGGTACAAACTTAACAATCCTTGGAAGGACGTTATCAACCAGTTTCAGTGATGTTCCCATCCTACCACCTTCTGATGTTAGCTGTTATTTTCGGCTCTCTGATTTTACATTAACAGGTAAAATTTCTCACACTAACACAGCCACCTTCGCCCGCCAATCTAGAGGTGGCGGCGGCTCTGTGATCTTACATTAACAAGCTAATCTCTCACGTTAACATAGCCACCTCAGCGCGCTTGCCGTGGAGGCCACTCACAGATCTTACATTAACATACTGCATTGGCATTGCTGCTGCATTGGCATTGCTGCCCCGCCCATGCTGCTGATGCTGCTCGCACACTTGGGCTATGCACATCTCCAAACCTTTCTAAACAGTTTGCCTTTAGAGGCTAACCCCTTTTCGTGATGATGACCGCTTGTGTTGCGATCGAAACGTAGTTTTTTGTTATTTTCTTAAACCTATCTACGTGACTTTACCGAAAGACCCAAAGAACATGGTACAGTTGCAGCATATTCCTGGAGGGTCTCCCTTGTATGTCATTGCATGGCAGTAGCTGCAAGAAGTAGGCATGGAACCAATGGCAACTAATTAATCAGAAGTGTAAATGAAGTGAGGAATGTGTGGAAAATACTTATTTTTGGCTGCAGTTGAGGCACCTGGTTGCAGACATTGTAGTGCTGTTTGCAATCTGCCTTGCTTGTTGGTGGACTGCAGTTTTATTCGCTGTGGCAGCAGCCATTTGTGCTGTTGAGGAGTTGCATTTTCTGTAGGTGCAAGCAAAGCAGCACTGGTAGCTTGCTTTCCTACTTCTTGCTCTACTGGAGTTTCATAAGCTGTAGGTGCAGCCATCGCAGCATTTGTACGAATGGCATCAATTATTGTTATCGCGTTTGGTGAAGAGAAACACACGTTTTCTGCAAGGCACATTATAGGTGGGGGTTAAAGTTAATAAGCAGAAAAAAATAGTAAATAGTGATTATGTATAGAGATTAAGAAAATGATAGTTGAATGTGTAATCGTTGTAGGAATGTAAAGCCATAGCGC